AACTTTCTTATTTTTTTTGCTAGTGTTAATTTCATCCTTTAGATCTTAAGGAAATAAAGTAGCACATATATGTATTAGTTTCTTCTTCTCTTTTCCTGGATGATATGTCTTTAATGCATCTTTACTGGTATTTATATATCATGACTATATTGTGATATCCCAAATTATAGGAATATTATCTTTTTGAAATATTCGACGTTAAAATAACAGTTTTTGTTGTCCCAGCTCTTTAACGCTAATAGGTTAGCTGAGAGCGCGGGATTCGGGGTACTCAGAGATAAAAAAATATGGTAACATTACTTTTCTTTTCTAGATTGTTACATGGTGTTATCTTTAGTAAATAATATATTGTTCTTGATTGTGTTGCTACTGATTTTTCTAGACAGGGAATTATTCTGAAGTGATGGAAACTACAAGTGAAAAAGAATAAACATATTTAGAGTATTATTGATTTAAGTAAACCAGTCATTAGCATATGTTGCCTTTACAATTTACCAGCACTGATCGACAACATAAATTATGAGGATGGACTATTAATTTGTGCAAACTATAGAAAAGGTCAATTAGAAAAAAGAAAAAAGAAAAAAGAAAAAAGGGACGAGATCATTTACATAGAGGATTCTGGGAGAAGTGATCATGCATACGAGATGGAAGCGACACTGAGTCTTAAAATCCAACATCTACAATCAATAAATTACTCATACAATAAGATCATTATCAATATTTACGTGTATTGATGTAGTATGTAAAGAAGTCAATACGCATATAGTGACTACTTAGACTCAAGCCACCAAATTATGGGGGTGGGGGTTTCTGGGTTTTGGCCTTGGAGTGTAGAACCCTAGAACTCTAAGACCAAAACACACCTTTAAACAAAGAATTTAACCATCGGAGCGTCCAACAATCTATTGCTCTTTTTGTACATTAAATGTCCTTTATCCGTTTTCACGCGCTATGTATATTTCAAAAAAAAAGAAAGAAGAGGGGATGGACTTTAACCCCATCCGCTTAAAAAAAAGGACACATCGTATTTAATTAATGTTTTATACCTATTTTGTTTCCTCTCTTTTTCCCCATAGTTTGGTTCCTTGAGTCTAATTAATCGCTATTTTGGTTCCGGACTCATGACTTAAGTATAATTCATTTAACTTAACTGTAGTTTATTTGACAAAATATTCTGACATTATTTGTTAATACTACAATCTTACTAGCACAAAATAGTAATTTTATAGGAAAATTAACGGCATTAGCAGCCTTTGAAAACTGATATCAGCATTAGCAGCCTCTTACAACGAACATTTCTTTTAGGGATTATACATACCAGGCACGTGACATAGAGGGTGTTTGGATTGGCTTTTAAGCTGGTCAAAACACTTTTAAGCTCTTTTTAGCTTTTTTCGGTGTTTGGCAAAGTCAAAAAGTGCTTAAAATAACTAAAAGAGATTTTTACATTCCTATGCCACATAGGAAACCTTATTACCCTCAATGTTTAAAGTTTGACTTAATTACACTTAGTATACCAAATTACCAATTCTATACCATAGTGTATTTTAAGGGTACAATTAATGTAGCGTATATCCCTCCTTAATTCAAGGTACCGTATATCCCACCACTCCCATGTTTCTCTCTCCCAAACGCTCACCCTCACCCACGACGTTTATGTACTGTTATTAGGAACGCTATACTCGAATACTGACTTCCTGAGCTTCTACAGATCTCTATTGTTGAGAACGTGTATTGGAAGGATTTCGCCGTAATTCTTGCCGTGTGGGTTATTCTCCTGCTCCTTCTGCATCTCTTTAAGGTTGTTTGCTTTAAATTGCTTGCCTGTTTGTAATGCCTTCACATTTTCAGGACTGCCTTCTAAATGTTCCTGCACTATTACATTCTGATTAGAAGCTATCATTTTTTCGGTGCAGAATTATTCACCAATTTTAATATTCCAATTCCCATTCAATTGTAGCTTAATTGGTATTTTCGACATAATTTTGCATTTTTTACAGAAGATTTTGTAGAAGTTTTAGTCGTTTTAGATTTGTGAAAATAGAAAACAAGGCATCTACAATCAGAATACAAATAATCTACAATTCATCTACAAAATATCTACAAACTGGTTAGATTGAATTTTAATATCCCAATTCCCATTCGATTGTAGTTTAATTGGGATTTTCGACATAATTGCGTTTTTTGCAGAAGATTTGTAGAAGTTCTAGTCGTTTATGATTTGTGAAAACAGAAAATAAAGCATCTACAATTAGAATACAAATAATCTACAATTTATCTACAAAATATCTACAAACTGGGTACATTAAATTATTATATCCCAATTCCCATTCAATTGTAGCATAATTGTGATTTTTGACATAATTGCATTTTTTTAGAAGATTTGTAGTTTTAGCCGTTTTTTATTTGTGAAAACAGAAAATAAAGCATCTACAATCAGAATACAAATAATCTACAATTTATCTACAACTTATCTATAATCTATCTACAACTTATCTACAATTTCTGCAATATGTCTTCTTCTTCGAGTTTCAATCTGAAATTCAGTCAAAACCAAGTCTAATCTTCACCAAAAACCCTCAAAATTGAGATATAAACTCCAAACCATATTCCCGATTATTTTCAACAACACCCAATCCAAACAAATAATGATTTTTGAAAACCCAAATTTGAATTCAAAGCTTTCAAGCTTTTTAATGGCTGCCAATGGTAGAAAATATCTTTTAAAAAAATATTTAGTTTTAACATTCCCATTTTTTCCTTTAATGATATATATAACTTATTAGGACTCTCACTACCACTCATTTAATATGATGCTTGTATAACTTTGCATATAGTATTTGATTTATACGTGACCACGCCCAACTATGCCTTATAAAAAGGACAATGCGGTCGTTGCAAATATAATCCGGTTTACAAGTCTGGAGTCGAATCCCACAGAGAACTAAGGTTTAGCTACAACTGTTCACTATCACCAAGAAGACAAGCTTGAACAATTCCTAACTTATAGATATTAAGATTCTTGTGTTTATCTAATTAACTAATAAATTAAAATAGTAAATTAACAACTAACGATACTGAGGGTTAGAGAAAAGATTAAGGAGGTCTAGAGTTATGATTTCCCCAATTGTCGGAATCCTTCCCGCTATGTCTTCTATAATTTCGCCTAAGTATTCTCTACCGATCATGAGCACTCTTATTATCGTAAATCTCTCCCGAGTAATTACGACAATTTACTAGACGCACTCTCCCGAGCTACGCTAGCTGGCTTTTAATACATCTCACTTCAGATCGCACCCAAGGCTTCGTTATCCCTAATCCCGCCTTTAAACCCTCGGTTATTGATCCCTCATATACTCTGGGAGTGGTGTTGTTCAACAATTACCTAAATATGCACTCTCTCCCGAGTTATGCATACTAAATAGGCACAGCTAATTGAGAGCTCTTCAACCAACCACAATATAAACGTAGTTGAACAAATCGAGAAAAGCTATGGCTCAATTATATAAAAACATAACAAGAATTTATCCTACAAAAGGTTCTATCAAATTCTAGATAACAAATTAGCTATTCATAATAGTATGTAAAACTACAATACTAAAAGTCATAACCAACAATGAAAAAAATAGGAAGAGGAAGGAAAAACTCGTAGAAGAATTCTCCGCCTTGCTCCCAATGTGTTCTTGCCTCCAAGGGTGTTGTCTAACCCTAAAGTAGTGTCTCTTGCCTCCTTAGGTCTAATTTTTGTCCAAAATATGTCCCCCCCTTGTTCTTGCCCGGCCTCCTTTGTTTAATATAGGGTTTAGGACTTAAAATCCCATATTTTGCACTTTAGTCCCTGAAATTTTCGCTTCCTGCCGCGTTTTTGCCGCGGTCGCGGTGGAACCGCGGCCAAACATGCCCTCTGATTCTTCAGTTGTCAGCGACCATCTTTTACCGCGATTCTGCCACGGTCGCGGCAAAACCGCGGTTTTTCACCCTGGTCTGTTTGGAATTTGGAAAAACGTAAAACATAAAAGTTGTAGCCCTTTGAGTTAGCTTTCCAACCATATATTGTGGAGACCAAATAGAGTTCTGAGCAAAAAGTTATGTCTATTTTACTAGACAGTGCGCAATATGCCTCCTCAAGTCTTCGTTCGTACTTAATTATCAAATTTGACCCCCGAACACGATCCCGGCTTAATTCCTTGAGCTTTTACTCAGACTTCAAAGCTTCAAATCACTTAAATTCATTCCATAACATCTATATAGCTCGGAATCACACCTACAAGGCATAAAACACACAATTAGTGCAAAACACTAGCGATTAAAGCGCAAACTCAATTAAAGTGTAGTAAATTCGAGTGTATTAAGCGACTAAAATATGCAATTATAGCCTATCATCAATACGTCAAAAATCTTTTTAAATTTTCTTAACTTCGTGCCCTAATTAAAAACTTCACGTAGAATGAGACAAAAATACTACTACTAGTACATATATAATAAAAATTAAATTTGTAATAAGGCCACTCCCGAAACCACTTCTAGTCCTCCACATTTGCAACATCTGGCTAAAGTGCAAACCACCATAATATTACAATAACGTCTCATCATATAGCAGGCAATTCATCATTAACAAAATGAATAAGATGATCTTAATTAGGCGATTGATTTAACGAGTTGAGATTTTGAACAGATTTGATTTGTGGCTAAATCAATTAGAAGATTCTGTTCCTGAATTTTAGCACGCCTAATTAGGAAGATTTAACTACTAATAATTAGTATTTAATGAATGGTATAATAATTGTAGTAAAAATATGGATATGACGGGTAAATTAGAAACTGTGCACATTTTTTGTAATAAAGTTTCATATATGATATAGGAATGAAAAAATCTCTACCTAAAAAACTGCTTAAAGGCTTAAAAGCTATTTGTACTGAAAAGCTGACTTTTTTTAAGCCAATCCAACGGCCGTAGGATACGGAAAAGTCGCTAAGAGAAAAGGCATTGCGATTGGTATTGATTGCAAAACCAGGAGTGAAGGTAGAAGATTGGGAGTTGAGGGTGGGTGAGCCCGGCTGATCCCTTTATTATATACCCACCCTATCATCTACCCCTTTTATCATTCCCATTACCCAATTTTCGATATTGGGCTCTGCTCTCATATTTCTACTTCTCCTCCCTTCAACTGTCTGATCTAACCCATCAGACACTTTTGAAGATTGCTCTGATCTGGTAAGAATTCTATTCATTTTATTGGCCAAAATTGATTCCAAACCCGTTTGACTTTTACATTAATATTTTCCATTTCAGGGAATTTACGATTCGATGGATTAGTGCTTGAGTTTTTTTTTTTTTTTAAAACAGTGCTGTAAAGATCAGGTTTTGAGGATGGAGTTTTTTGAAAGACCAGAAGCTCAATTTATCATCGGTGTTGCTGTTGCTATTGCTGCTGCTGGTGCTGCTGCCTACTATTATTCTTCCAAGAAACCCAAAGGTCTTTTTTACTTTTGCTGCCCATTACATACTACAAGAGAAGGACGAGCGATATAGACTTGTGCATGGCTATGTTTAAGTCTAGAGCCCGAACCTCATTCTAGCCCACAAAGTAGCGTTAGATCTTGAGTTGCTTGACCCATTGAACGTCTAGAGTTCGAATCACATTTTAGCCTCAAAGGCTTTGGTGGAGTAGTAAGATTATAAGAATGCAATGCCATGTGTGAGTTAGGCATAGGTCACGAATTCCAATCCTGCAACAGTCAAACGCTTAGTATTTAAGTGGGAAGGGTAGAGAGGTGGGCTTATTATTTATCGAGTTTCAAACTATGTGCCATAGTCCTCAAGATTTATAGGTTATCAATATATATATAAGGAGAAATGTTGTCAATGGCCCAGGTGTGTTTGGATAGTGTTTTGATGAATTTATTGAGTATATAAAGATTGATAATAATGTTTAATTATTGATTGGAGCAGTCATACGAAGTTAAGAGTTGAGATAGTTGTGAAAGAAAATGACTTTTGCCTGTAAGTGATGGAAGTAATTTTTTTTCCTTTTTGGTGAAAAATGCTGTCCTTTTACAACCAAACACTGTTTTCTATTATTTGATGACTCTTAAGTACTCCGAAAATGGTTGTCACAGTTTGCTTCAGTCATGTTTAAGCTACAGACTCAGGTTTTTACTCAAATGGATTTTTGACTAAGATATTTAAATAACTCTTTCTTCTTTTCTATATGAGAAACTTGTACCTTACCGAAAATAACCTCAAAACAATGAATTAATCCATGGCTGATTGGTCATTGACCATGATACGTAAAAATTTTCAAACAAATCGAGACAAACATAGTATGCATTTTGTTAGTCTTCTAGTGTTGCCTTTTAAAGGCTGTACTTATTCATTTAGATAGTAAAGTTAAATACCCAATGTTTGTTGCAAGGAAACCTAAGAGCTCCTCTTGTAATTTCTAAGATGTCAGCATATCTCCTGACTTATTGGTTTACTTGAGAATATCTGCTTGAAATTTTGTGGCGACCATGCTTTTGATCTTGGTTATTATAGACTAACTAGTTAAATCGTGTTGGCTTTACAGTATGCTTGGATCCTGACAGGTTCAAAGAATTTAAGCTTGTGAAGCGCACGCAAATAAGCCACAATGTTGCTAAGTTCAGATTTGAACTCCCCACACCTACTTCTGTATTGGGCCTACCCATTGGACAACATATTAGTTGCAGGTTCAGTTTGGTTTCTGCATTAGCCTTTGATCCTTGTGCCTGAAATATTTCTTTTTACTAATTATTAGGAGACATTTGGTAACTCTTCTACTTCATGCTCTAACGAACAGGGGCAAGGATAGTCAAGGTGAAGAGGTTGTTAAAGCGTACACACCAACTACTTTGGACTCAGATGTTGGATATTTTGAACTAGTTATTAAGGTAAATTCTGGTTTTCTGGTTAGTCTTTGCTTGCTATAAAGTATGTTCTCTTGCTCACTCTAATTGGTCAATTTGCAAATGCTTAGATGTATCCTCAAGGAAGGATGTCTCATCATTTCCGAGAAATGCGTGAGGGTGATTATTTGGCTGTGAAGGGACCTAAGGTGCTGTTCTGCTTCGTTTTTGTTATTTCATGTGTTATCATTCATTGAGCAGCAACTTACAGTAGTTCATGTTCCATTACTGTAGCATTCTAGTTTTCATGCGGTCCTTTCAGAATGATTTTTTTCACACCTTCTCTCTTTCAAAACTGCCTGAGTTTGTTTGAACTTTTGGAATAATATCAAAATGACTTGCAAATTGGACAATGGAACGAATAGCAAGTCATGTGATTTACCTAGAAATTATTGTTTTGACAAGGATAGATTTGCTAGATATCTTATCATATTCTGCACTTTTATGTAAATTGTGGTTTCTCTGCTTCCATGCCTGAGGTTCAAATACGGTACAAGCTCCAATTTACTTTATTTCATTTGAATTGTAGTCTTATTATTTTGTTAAAAAGATTCATCGGTAGTGGACTCATGCAATTTACATCTCTTGTTAATAGGGCCGCTTTAAGTATCAGCCTGGCCAAGTGAGAGCATTTGGAATGCTTGCTGGAGGCTCTGGCATTACCCCAATGTTTCAGGTCTGTCCCCTTTGTTTGATGTGTTATTCCAGCCCACCTTTCTTTTTGGTTACTTATGGCTAGTTTTATTGGTTTTCCACAATAAATTGTTATCTTGCACTTATTTACTGAGGTTTTTGGGTTTGAAGTCGGTAAATATTTGGTTGTCTTTTTCCAGGTTGCTAGAGCTATTCTCGAGAATCCAGATGACAAGACAAAGGTGCACCTGATATATGCTAATGTTACCTATGAAGACATTCTTTTAAAGGTAATTTAGCATATCACCTGATGAATCTGCTGTTTGAGTATGCGACTATACATATTGGAAAGTTTGAGCAGTGAGCTTATCAATAATCTTATTTTCTTGCTTTTTCTATTTTTCTCTCTAATTTTCAAGTTTTTCCTCTCTTCCTCTGTGTGGCAGTAGTGCTGTGTTATTGTATCTGGAGAAAGTGTGCTTAGTATAGCTCTATGCTGACTGTGGTTTTGAAGGATTTAGTAAACTTATCCGGTTTTAGATGTTTTAAAGTTTTTGTGTAGTTGTGTTGTGTTAGATAGCTGAAATATAAATGCCTCCTGATTATTTTTGATGTAGTAAACATGAAATCAGCCCACAGTGATCTGTACTGTAGTTGTAGAGCATTTCTACATTGAGGAAATTGTCTTAACTTGGGAAGAATTTCTGTAACTTGTCCATTTCTCGCAGCTAATTTCCACAGGTGAATATCATCTCTAAAGTATTCAATCTTTCTTCACTTCAGCTATATTAATAATAAAGCTGCTTCTTGTACTGTTTCCTGGGGTTTCTCCCTCACCTCAGTTTCATCCTTTGCTTATAAATGTAAAATTAAGCACATTTATTTGTGACCACCACATGCTATACAACTTTTCTTTTGATAGGTAAAGTCTCCAAAATGTATGTATGTTTATGTTTCGTAGTATCCAAAAATGTATGCACATTATGGTCTAGTTTCTTTTAGGGGGCATTTGTTCCTTTTCTCTTTTTTGGGTGGGGGGTGGGGGGTGGGGTGCATTTAATCTGAGTTTAATTTGAGGAGTTGGTTCGGGGTTTGAACTTTTGAAAACTCTCTTATTTGATTTTGAAAGAAATGGTTTTGGGTAGCCGCTGTGTTTGGAAAAATATCATTAAAACCCCACCACATTATAGACACTTTTGTTGAAGACATAATTTAAGTAAATAATAGTGTGCTCTCTCTAATAGCTTAAGCTTTTAGATGTGAGATGGTTACACACTTCAACATGGTATCAGAGCATCAGTGAGAAAAGATCGTTGTGTGCATTCCAGCAACATCCGAGAAGAAAAAACTCGGGCACTGTGCAATTTTCCGGTGTCCTAAGCGACTTGATTTGCGCCATCTCACATTTGGTGAGTGCTGTTCACAAACCAACACCACCATTAAAGTCAGAAAGTTCACAAGGCAATTCCGACCCTACCCAGCCAGTTTACACCTAATTCCGACTTTTTTTTTCCGGTGATTTATTTGTAGTTTCTAGCGATTGTTCCGGCTGCTGGTTCCTTTTTTCTAGCCAGCCACAATTTGTGGGAGTTGCAGTGGTGCTAGTAGACCTTTCTTCAATCCAAACCATACGACTTTTAGTCAAGAATTTGAGAAATTGGTTGTAGCAAAATGAGATCCAATACAATGAATAGTTGGATGGTTTTTCTACCTGGTTATATTAAGTTCCTTAAGTACAAAGCATGTAAATTAACATTTTTAGATATAGCTTCCGTTGTTCAAACAGGTAGTAGCCTGACTTGTGTCTCCCAATCTTCAACCTCCGAGTCTTGGGTCATTGATTCAGGTGCCTCTTATCATATTTCTGATAACAAATCTCTCTTCACTATTATTTCATGTTCTCAATCTCTTCCAACAGTCACAATGGCCAACGGGTCTTGAAACCGTGGCAAATCGATCAAGCAAGTCCACTTCCTTCCTTACCTTTAGATTTAGTTCTTTACGTTCCCGGTAGTCCTTTTAATCTCATAGCCGTTAGTCCATTAGCCAAATCATGTAAATGCTATGTTTTATTTCTTAATGACCTTGTTTTATACACGAACGTAGTACGGGGCGGATCATAGGTACCAGGCGTGAATCAAATGGACTTTATTACCTTATCCTTGCAAATTCACAGGACTCACATCTTGTCTTCCTTCAACGACTTGTTCTGTTACTGATTCACCAGATTTATGACATAACAGTTAGGATATCCCAATTTGTCAAAACTTCAGAAAATGGTACTTGATTTATCTCACTTGTCCGCTCTAGAGTGAGTCATGTCAGCTCGCTAAGCATACTCGCTCCCATTTCCCTCGACGTCCTAGTAATCGAGCAAAGTCACCTTTCACTTTTGTTTATTCAGATGTTTGGGTCCTAGCCGAGTCAGTTCTACCTTGGGATTTCGCTACTCTGTCAGTTTCATTGACGATTATTCCACACTTGGATATTTTTGATGAAAAATCGATTTTCTATTTTCAGACCTTCCACGCTGAAATTCAAAATCAATTTGGGGTTTCTATCCGCATATTTCGTAGTGATAATGCCCTAGAGTATTTGTCTTCCATTTCAGCAGTTTATGAACTCTCATGAGATTATTCATCAAACATCTTGTCCATACATCAATAATATATTTTTCTCCGTGCTTTCTGAGGTCCGTACATCTTGTCCGTATCAGAGTAGGCTGAGGTCCTGGGTTCGAGTCTCACCGCCACCCAATATCAAAAAGAATTTTCACGTGCTTGGCTCATAAAAAAGAATCAAACCTGCACATGCGGGGGCGTGTTGAAGACATAACTAAGTAAATAAAAGTGTGCTCTCTGTAACAGCTTAAGCTTTTAGATGAGATGGTCACACACTTCAACAGATTTCATATAGGAAGAAATTAAATAGACAAAATCTTATCAAACGTCTTCTTTTGCTACTAAACGTATTTCCTTGTAGTCGAAAAATGTAAAAGATCCGTCTAAAGAGGAAAAAGTTAGCAAAATGAAAATGTTAAATTTACAATTGCTAAATGGTCTTGGTTTTTTCAGTGAAAACATCCTTGGAGTTGTTTCTGGAAACCAACTTATTAACACGTTTGGTTTAAAGCTAAACCAAGTTGATTTCCTAAACCTATTGAGAGCCCGTTCGGCTTAGCTGATTTAGAGTAGCTGATAAGCATTAGGTGTTGAAAAGTACTTTTAAGTGCTGAGCTGATTTAATAAATAAGCAGTTACGTGTTAGGATAAAAGTGTTACTGACAAGTTCTTTTATGTTAAATTGGCTTAAATGACCTTAAAACTATTTATTATAAGAATAAGGGCGTGATTTCTTCGAGATTTTAGATTCCAGATAGATTCAAATACAAAACAATCTATTTCTCATTTTATTTTTAGTACAAAGTGATTAAATAAGATTTTTTTTATAAATATAAATCATAACAGAAGTTTGTCAGTAAAAAACATACCTATGTAATACACAAAATTTGTAGAAGAAACAAAAACACTTACTGCGTATTATTTGTGAAAAGTTAAATTAAAACATTCAGCTATCATGAATTGCCATCCAAATATTATTATCTCCTTGATTCTCCACATTTTCTACATTTGCACCGTTGACTCGTGTGAATCTGCCAACATAAGGATCAACGAGTGGCATATAACTCTCATTTTCAGCTTCTTGTTTATCCCTCTAGAAAATTAGATGACAAATACCAAAAAATATTCACCTCAACAAAAGCTCAAAAAGATGCAAATATAATAGCAAAAAGAGAATGAGAGGTATAAGAAGAGTGCAAAATAGTTTGTACGAAAAGGATTCTTAGATACACTAATAGTTTGTAAAAGTTTTTGCATAACCGGTGTTGTTTTATCTCTTATAATAGGTTGCTTATGTTTTACATGTTATCACTTCATATAAAAAGTTAATTGCAATTGACTTTGAAGTAATTTGTTAGTGTAAAACTACAACACCAGTTATGCAAAAATATGCGGATGACGAGTGAATTTTTCTTACCCCAAATATTGCTGACGAGAATCTGGCAAATTGGAGAGACGGCAGGCTGTTTAGGTTTAGAAGAATTGGGAGAGAGTGAAACCATGCGAGGAGTTTTGTCTTAAAAGGAGTATTCTCGGGATAAAATAGTAAATATCTTGGTCAGAATTAAAGTGTTTATAAGCTAAAAAATCATAAGCAGCTTATGGCTTTTAGCTCATTTTTGGCTTATAAGCACTTAAGCTTAGCCAAACACCCTCTGATTTGGTTTTTTCTATTAATCGAGAATCACTGAGGGCCACTGGTACTGGTGCACGAATTGAAATTCGTTGGATAATAAACCCGCCTTGCTATTCTTCTCCACATAAATATCATGCTTTTGTCTGTGGCGTGTTCGAACCCGTGATGTGCGGCTAGGCTAAACCACACATCATGCGTTGCGCTCTTACTAGTAGACTAGTACACCAAAGCCCTAAGCGCTGGGACACCTTTGATTTGGTTTTAAAAACAAACATTTCGTGTTTCTCCTTGAACCCTGATGTGTTCTTTCAAAACTGCATTCAGGAAATGTTATGCGAGAAACTGTCAGATGTTATGTTTTAATGGAGACTTCAACTTTTATCTATATTTTGAAATTTTGACAGGCGGGGTAGAGTGATAATAGCTATAGCACAGTCTAGCATAACAGCTACAGGCTTAATCAGATATTTCGTTTATATGATGAGCTTAATCTTCAAGATCCTTTATATTTACCCTTTATATTTACCTAGTCAACCATTTGCTGAACTTTCCAATAACTTCCCTACTTCCTGAAAGTTTGCATTTTAGCAATTTGGGAGGACATAGCTGAACAATTTGTGCCCCAAAAGTAAATTAGCTTACTACTTGGAAATGTTGATCGTTGCGTGCTAGTCCGTTCTTGTTGAAAAGATTATGTACGAAGATACTAACTCAGTAACTGAATTTATTTTTCTTGGCCTGCAGGAACAGTTGGATGGCCTTGCTGCTAACTATCCTGACCGTTTCAAAATTTATTACGTACTGAATCAGGTGACTTCCGTAACTTTTATGATGTTCTTTTTGGGCTTTCAAAATCATATCCTTTCATCTAGCTGTTGTTCACTATACACATTTGTTAACATTCTTTTCTTCAGGATGCCTTGTATGTTTGTAACTACTTATCTCTCATCTTTCATCCTAGTTTCTAGTACTCCTGTAGATACCCCAAAAGTGTTGCATTATTTCATTTCACCTGTTTGCTGATTTACCAGAATTGAAAAAGGAACTGATGGGAAAGATGCCCCACTTTTCCCCTCAACCTTCTTGAAACACTTAACACAAACCTTTTGTGCTCGTGAAGGATAGCATTTTACTGCTACTGTGTCAAAGGCCTGCAAACTAGACGGAATCTAACTAAAATGTCGAGTAAACATGCTCGGATCAAGGAATCGATTTTGCCCAACTATTTTTAATGAAATGACACCTTGTCTTTTGTCTAAAATTCTCGATTTGTGACCAAGGATTGGGTTGCAACTAGCTATGGTTTAGTGTTTGGTTTTGACGCAATACTACAGAAGAGGTAAAATATTGACCCCAGAAGTGTATCTAGTTGCCGAGTGCAAGATGTGTATCTAGTTGCCGAGTGTAAGATATGTGGTTCAACTTCCAGAAAACCCACCACCCACCTCGAGACAAAGGGTAGAAGTAAGAAGTAGAAGTTGAGAGATATAGGTTTATGCAATTAAGCTATACTCTTCAAAACATTTATTACACGTGATCAGGTCATCTCTTCATTCGTATCTTGCCAAATTGCTGCTTGTCAAGACTGATTGCACAAATATATCTTCTCCTACATATTCAAGAAAATTTGTGTGATTGTTCACTTGTGAGAAAAAGAATATGTGACTGTTTACTCGATATATGTGTGCCTTCTGTTTGTCAAGACTGTGTAAACATATTTTGTTATTGAACATAGTTTGAGTTGCACATTCAAGAATATTATGTGATTGTTTACTTGATTTATATGTAGCCTCCTGAAGTATGGAGCGGTGGTGTTGGATTTGTGTCCAAGGAAATGATTCAGACTCATTGCCCTGCCCCAGCATCTGACATTCAGGTATGATATAATTTCTCTTCAATGGTTAAGCAAGAGTCTGGTTTCAATAACTCTGTAATTGAATAAATAACAAGAAATTATAAAATGTTTCGAAAGGAATGTAGAGATTAAGAGCTGATTTCATGTCGAACGTGCAGATACTGAGGTGTGGTCCACCTCCAATGAACAAGGCTATGGCTGCTCATCTTGAAGCCCTTGGATACACCCCAGAGATGCAATTCCAGTTTTAACTTCCTTTTCTTTTTTGCATTTTTTTATTATTTTTGTCCCTTATTGATATTTAAGCTCCATCGAGAATGCTGTCATTTTTATAGCTGAGGAAAGGCACTTATTATTTGCATATGGTGGGGACTATTAGGGGTGTTTAACAGAGTTTGGGGATGAAACAACTCTGAAATCTAAAGCTTACTTTCAGTTTTAATAACGTGTCTTCCCTGATTTTGGTATGTTCTCTTTGCTCTTCTAAAATTTGCGTTGTTCATTTTCAAGGTCTACCTTTGCCAAGAATAAAAAAAAAGCGATTAAGCAAATTGAAGAATCGTTGTTATTGGGTGTCACGACCATCCCACCATAGGGCTCGTGATGACACTTACCCTCTAAGAATAGGTAAGTCAAACACTTAACAACATTAAAACACCTAAAATATGATATAATAAGATTGAATTTAATATAACAGTGGAAATAGCATTAACATAAGCCCAAAATAGCAAAATGCAATACAACTTTCTAGAACTAGGTAGTACATAGTCATGAGCTTTGATTGGATATATAACGATATTTCAAAATACAATATTGTTGGAATGTAACATTAGCAGTATCAACATAAGGATGAGACTCTGCCTTCAGCACCTGGATTTGTACAAAAATGTGCAGAAGTTTAGTTCGAGTACATCACAATCGGTACCCAGTAAGTATCAAGACTAACCTTGGTAAAGTAGTAACGAGGTTCTAGTCACATGATATACTCACTAGTTAAAGGACTTGTGCAATATATCAATAAATGGCAACAGAATACGTAGCAAAAAATATTATCAACAATCTCGTTAGAACATACGGTAACAACTCAATATAGGAGAATCCATTTTTGACAACCAATCATCAAGTAGAAACAGAGGCATATGATAGCACTTCAAATGTAACTGGCAGCTCATTAAGAATACATAACGGAGTTTAAAGAAAATATGTATATGATCAAAATATCATCATGTTTCATCACATGAGCATCATCAAAGAATCACCTCCAAAATCATCACATAACATCATCAACAATGCCGCCTGTATTTCGTCGCATGTGCAACATCAAGAAATATTACCTTTATTTCGCCATGTGTGCATATCACCACCTTTGTTTCAACATGCGCATAACAATAATCACAATCGCACGGCCAATACCTCGTGCTAACACCCAATCTATCCACCCACTCAGTGCAGAAGTGTAGCATGAGTACGTAAATCAACGCATACCCAGTGAGTATCTAGCCTAACCCCTGCAGAAGTAGAAATGAGGGGTCGACATCGACACTTACTAGTGGTCCAATAAATCAGTATAATAAATTATAAATAGATGCGAAACACAACGGTAGTAATGAGGTAAGAACTGTAACTACCATAATTCACCAACATAATGTCCATGTGAATTTCTCAATTATCATATTCCATCTCAACATATAAGAAATATCAAGTACTATCTCAAACAGATAAGGAGTATCAAGCGCCATCTCAAACAGGTATGGAATATCAAGCGCTATCTCAAACAGATAAGGAATATCATGTAAATGTCAGGTATCAATCAAAAGGAAAATCTAATGAATATTCGGACTCCTAGCGATATTACGCACGAGTAATGCCGATGTCGTACGGCCCGATCCATAAAGTTGTGTATATATACTGCCGATGTCGTATATCCCGATCCATGGATACATCACATATTGCTATTTTATAGCACTGCCGAGGTGTTCAGCCCGATCCCCAGGAAGAGAAGAAGCTTATCGAATTTACATGGCATGTATTTGCCACTAGGGACAGGAGCATAAAGTAAGCATGTCTTTACCAACAATCAAATATCTCTCCAAACAACTCAAGGTAATGATGTTCGACCTAACATGATCTCCAATCAAATTTCAATTAAAATTTTTAGGAAAATAAACTAACAAGTTGAGTTAGTAACACAAATATTGCACGGCAAAAGTCCAAAGTCTACCCAGACATAAATATGATTCTAGCTACATATGGACTTTCGTCACCCCGTGCGTACGTAACTCCCACAACAAGTAGAACATAACAAATACAGCACCTACGGGGTGGTTTCCCACTCACAAGGTTAGACTGTGACTTACCTCGCTCCGAAATCAGATAACTGGCTCCAACGCCTCTCTAACATCTCAAACCGATGCCAAAAACGATCTAAAACTAGTCAAACAATGTGCAAATCAATCAAAATATACTCCAATACTTGTAATTTCACAGTTTATAATAATTCTTAAATCCGATCGAAAAGTCAACAAAGTCGACCCACGGGCCTACATGCACGGATTTCAAATTTTTTTGAAGATAAATATTACCCATAGCACCACGAACTCAAATATATAATTTATTCCTAATTCCGTATCAAATTTCGTGGTCAAAATCTAAAATTACCAAATGTAGGTTTCTTCCAAAATTCCAAAATTTCTATCAATTTACATGTTAAAATCCATATATGCTCATGAAATATAATCAAAAGTAGTTTAGAAACACTTACCCCCAAGAGGTAGATGAATTAGCTCTCCAAAATCGCCCCAAAATCAACTCCAAGAGAGAAAAATGAGATGAAATGAGTAAATCCCGAATTTTGCAAACTTATATTCTGCCCAGGCCACTCCTCTTCGCAATCGCAGAAAATCCCTCGCTATCGCGAAGGCCAAACCAACCTCGCCCAAAAATCGCTCTACGCTAACACGAGGCCAGTCCCGCAATCGCGAAGCCCATCCTGCCAAACCTTCGCAAACGCGATCCACGCTCCGCGAACGCATAGATCTAACCTTCCAGCCCTCAGCAATTCCTTTCGCGATCACGAACAGCTCCACGCGACTGCGAAGAGCTACCTCTAATCCAGGCCATCATGCTAAAGCTTTGCGCGCGACCCTTGCCACGCGAACGCGATGAACCATCAAATCAAACACCGCAATCGTGAGCCACCATGCGCGATCGCGAAGAACAAATTTCACCTAGCTCCTAAACAACACCTTGCAATCGCGAGCCTCTCTTCGCGATCGCGATGACCACCCCTGATACCAGAAACCAGCAATCACAAAACAAAGAAAAATGGTCAGAAACCATCCCGAAACACAACTGAGGCCCCGAGGATCCCGTATAATCAATCCAATAAAACCCAATACCTTATCCAAACTTAACTAAAGGCTCGAAACGCCACGAATAACATCAAATACACGAATCGACGATCAAAATCTTCTCTTAACTTTCAAATATTCAAACTTCACCGAACGAGTTTGAATCACGTTTAAACATTCTACAATGACGCCAAATTCTACGTACAAGTCACAAATCACAAAACGAACCTATTCGAAGGCTCGGAATCACAAACGGACATCGATAACACCAATCCACTTCGAATCAAACTTAGGAAATTCTAAAACCTTCAAAATGCCAACTTTCCAAATTAAGCGCTGAAATGCTCCCGGACTATCCAATACTCAACCCGAACATACGCCCAAGTCTAAAATCATCATGCGAATATATTGGAAGCTTCAAATCTCGATTCCAGGATCGTTTACTCAAAAGTCAAACCTTGGTCAACTCTTCCAACTTAAAGCTTCCGAATTGAGAACTATTCTTCCAAATCAACTCCAAACTTCTCGTAAATAGAAACCAACCACGTGTGCAAGTCATAATTCATAAAGTGAAGCTTCTCAAGGCCTCAAACTGCCAAACGACGTGGTAGAGCTCAAAACAACCGGTCGTTTCGCTACATTCTCCCCTACTCAAACATATGTTCGTCCTCAAATGTGCCAAGAACCTTTCTAGTGTTGCCCAAAATAACTGTTTAACACCTCGTGCACCTACCCACCATAACCCATATGAGCACATTAGCTCAAGCCAGACTGAATATCCTTCTTGCTACCTTAGCCCACAAGCGTTAGAACCAAATTCCAACATCCGAAATTCTCTATAAGGTCCGATTCTAACATACGTACACCATATCAATCTCAACGCACGTTACCAAAACATGATCATGCACCCATGCTGAAATTACACAATGCACCGCATAATTCGCAATGCCCATAATAACATCCTTAAACCATAATAGGTGCAAATTCACGAATCAGATGCCTGTGATATACCTCATAACACATATAAGCCCTGTTCTAACCATCGCAATACTGCAACGATGAAAGAGATGTGTAGAAACTCATAACCACTTAATCAATAACTCATGTAGTCTCTCCGTTTGACAAGAACTATTGCCTCATTTTGAAATGATTAGTGACATTTTCCCCATAATATACAATATATAAATGTGATTGCACCTATTTCAAGTCCAATAACCTCGTCTCACCTAGTACAAGCTGGTCGAGCAGTAAACCACCTCAAACACCGTCTAAAATCTCATACAATGCCTTCAATGTGGCAACAAGCTACAACTCAAATATGACTAATAAGGAAAAATGATCTCTGGTAAAGAACTACCCAACCCGTATAACATTCAAATCAACCAGACAAACGCGATGAACCTATATCAAGGGTAAGAAACAAAACACACGAAATAAGTATAAGGAACTGTACTCTACGTCTCATTGTTGTCATGCAACCCGATCTAAACATCATACCCGTGGCGGCGTGCCACCCGATCCACACATAACAATCAATAAGGAAATACCCATCGAGCCAAAATGCACATACCCACGAAATGCCCGAATATCAACCACAAGCACGCCAAGTGCATAAACGCAACACCGGGGAGACAGATAGCGCCATGCGCTACAAAATACCAAACACGACTAAGGTGCAATAAATGACCTGCACCTCGAGAGCCATCACGCTCATATAACACCACAAGCTACATAGGATCACAATGCACGTGTAAATAGCCAAGCCATTTCACAACCCATATGGCATAAAAAAGAAGCACCTCAAATAGACGAAGGCAGAAATATCATCCACCACACCCGAAGACTCATCCATAAGCAATGCTATGCTGAGTAAGCATATCTAATATGGTATAGAATATACATTCATATTGGGCCTACCCACAGATCCCAAAGCCAATTCCAATCATCTCCAAATAGGTCTATAACCTCCCAAAGATCCACAATGACCCTATCTATGACACATACAATCAACCGTTAAATCAGGAACAAACTTTCACAGTCCGCAACCAAGGGACAGAGCGTCTCTCAGACATAAACTCTCCAATTAGTGATTGTACCAGAATGTTCATACCCGATTT